CGGCCTGACCGAACCGAGCGTCGCCGGCGCTAATCGCCGGTCACCTTCTCCAACGAGCCTAGAGCCAAAAATGGCGCCGTTTTGACCATTTTTCTTCTAAGCATTTTGCCAAACACTTGGTATACACAATTTCCGATTTAATGTTTTCGAGGCCGTGACTTCAGATCGGGATACGACGACCTTCCGGTGTGATTCCGGCCATAATTTTGGATTCTACATTGAAACTATATCATCTATTATCAAACTAAACCAACTGATTGGCCGTCAGATCACCGTCGGCCTGCGAAAAAGCCGGTCGAAAAATGCCAATTTACTATTATTCTAACCTAACATTACGAGAAGCTCCAAATCCCTATTTTATTCGCCCTGGCCGTCTACGTCGATCAAGATGATTTCCAGAACATCAAACAAAGTAAGCACAGACTGACTTGACAGGCCTATGGCCACGGCGACGCTCCGGTGGTGATGTCCGAGCTCCGGCGAGATGGTTCATGGGGGTGGCCGACTCGGTTTTATGTGTTTTTAATGCCCGAAATGCAATCAAACAATACCAAAAATGATTAGAAACAAGTTCTGAACATCAAAATGCTAAAATTCATCGACGAAATCACATAAACATTCATATTGGGACTAGAACTGAATTCTGGAAAATTTGAAAAAAAATTACTATGAGCCAACTTTACCTTCTTCGTTCCATGATCAGAAGGAATCGCCGAACTGATCCACGCCTCTAGAGTTGTTCCTTGACATTTGAACTTCAACTTGGTGGTTTTGGATTCGTCGGAAGAGCTCCGAATTCGCTGATCGGGCCGAATTTTCAGGCATTCACAGTCAACTTGCCACTGGTCAGCCGAGGAGGAGATCCTCCCTAAACGGTCGATTCGCCGGCGCCGTTCACTCGACCTAGGGATCTCCACTCCTCTCTCTCTCTCTCTCTCTCTCTCTCTCTCTCTCTCTCTCTAGATTTCAGGCTTTTTCCCTCTATATCTCTCTCTTCTCTCTCCTCGGCAAATCGTCGAACACCCTCTCTTGCAATGTTCAGTTTTTCTTCCTTTTTTGTTCATCAAAATTCCCGCCCAAATTCGGTTAGAACCGACTTAGAATCGGTTAGATCGAATCTTTGGTGCCAGCTGGAGATTCTCCAGCTGGCCAAGTCAATTTACACGTGCTAGATTGACCAGGGAAAGCTCATGAAGTCCTGAGTTTAATTCGGTTTTTTTATAGGTTTTATTATGGTTCGGGTGAGTCGAGCGAAGAAGGTGATCGACCTGGATCGGGTTGGGTTGACTCGATCGACCTGGCAAACCCGGGTTGGTCTAAATTCGCCAATTAAGCTCAATTTTGGCCCAATTTTCAAAATTAAACCCCAAAATTGAATTCCTCATCACATTTTTAACCCAAACATGTGATTTTCCCAATTTTTGTGATAATCATGTCCAAGATTTTCCATTTTTGTATTCAAGTTAATAGGGTTTTTGTTCAATTTGATGTCCTAATGACTTGATTAGGCAAAATTGATGCCAAAATTGAATTACCCACATCTGATTAACCCTAAAAATGATGGTCTCATGGTTCGACAATTTCATATTGGGCACGATTCCCAATTTGGGCTCAAAATTCTTAATTTTCAATTGAATTTTGGGGTTTTCTGATTTCTTTGACAAATTGTGCAATTGGATGGACCATTATGTAATTCAAGGTCCCAGAATCATTTGTTGTGAAGACACTATGACTTAAAAATGGCTAGAAAAGATTTAATTGCATTTTTGGTTCAATTCGGATTTAATTTTGCCCAATTTTGGGAAAAACATATAACCGATTGAGATTTTTCAAAATTGATGATGTATTAATGAAATTGGATTTAAAATAAGACTAATGACTATTTTTATGGAATTTTCTGATTTCATTTGCTATTTTTCTTGATTTTCTCACTTATTTTGACTAAAAGAAATTAATGAAAAATGCAGGAAAATACTAAAAAAATTATTTTTGATTTAGAACTAGGTTTCTAGGCTTGGCCAAGATTCCTAGTCCTAATTTTGAGATTTTTGAAAATATGAAAAAAATGAGCTAAAAATCAGGTGTCAACAAACACGCCGGGAACCGGCTGGCGAGAGGTCGAACCGGTGAGGGGAGTTCACAGCCGAGAGAGAGAGAGAGAGAGAGAGAGAGAGAGAGAGAGAGAGAGAGAGAGAGAGAGAGAGAGAGAGAGAGAGAGGGAAGAGAGGAGAGAGAAACTGGATATGAAATTATGAGAGTCCTTATCAATTTTTGGAGGGAAAAAGCTTATATATTTTCCCCAACTTTGAATCGTAGCCCTTAAATCAATATAATAGCCTCGAATACATCCATAATAATTAAGATTATTCCTTAGGGGCTAAGGATAAATGACACGGCACTATGATGGCCATGATTTGTTCTAAATGAATGGCCATTATTGATTTGCTTAACTCCTAAATAATTTGCTTAATTCTTAAGTAAGGGCATTTTGGTGATTTTGCTTTAGGGGCATTTTTGTAATTTCCATTTAAGGGCATTTTTGTCATTTTGAACACAAAGGGATGTGGTTGGCCGAAATGGACCGCCGGCCGCCGGATTCTTGACTGGAAAACGGCCGGTCCGATCAGATCGGTTCCATTCTGGTCAAACCGGGTTGAACCGGTTGGACCCGTTTGACCCGAGTTTGACCGAGTTGAACCGGTTCAATTCTTGGTTCAATTTGTTCCAATTTTGTACAATTTAATCCTTATCATGATTGATTGACCCAATTGAATTGAATTTGATTAAATTGGATTGAACCAATTTGAAATATAAGCACAAATTGATCCAATTTAACTTGTTTGGGCCAATTGCTCTTCAATTTGAGTTAAATTGTATGGCCAAGCTAGACTAATGAATTTATTTGAAGTTCAATTGGCCAAATTGAGCTTCAATTCATCAAATACTCATTCGTGTCTTAATTGCGCAAATCATGAAGAATCGATCGGAATCACTGATTAGGGCCTAAATTTGGGGTTTTTTCCCTTGGCTTGGAATTACAAAATTGGTTCCAAAATTGAATGCAATACGACCTCTAGATCAAATGTTGCGAAGGAAACTATCCTAAAAAATGACTAGAAATGAAGTAATTTCATTTTTGGCCGATTTGAACCAAATTCCGTAAATTGGGGAAAGTTGATTCTAAATCAATTTTTTGAAAATTGATGATGAAAAAGTGAAATTGACACTATTTTGGGATTTTTTATGCAAAAAACCAAAATTTGACTTTGAGTTGACTTTTGATCAAAGTTTGACCAACAAGTCAACTCGAAAGTCAACTCTTTGACTTTTTGAAATTGAAATGTAAAAAGCTAGAAAATGAATGGCTAATGCTGATTCAAATGCTAAATGACTCTTTTTTGGTTGAGGATTGAGTTCTGTCGCTATCAGAAACCCTAATCTCAAGATTTTACCTTTATGACGCGTTAGCTAAAAATTAGGTGTTAACAACACCTTTTAAAGAGGTGTCATTGGTTGTCTGTTGAGGGAAGTTAATAAAACTTCATAGACGACAGAGACATAACAGACATCGTATAGAATAAACAAAACGTATGTTATCCTCTCTCACTCAAAAAACACGCAAAAAGGTTCTATCGTTACTTTGAGATGATGATCGGCATTAAACGCTGTGGAACAAGAATATTTTCCTCATAATTATATTCGGACTGGTGTGAAGTTGTAGATTCGTCCAACATTCGCCAATGATTCAATTCACGTTCCTGGGTAATTCATGTGTTGTGCTTTGAGAGGTTAGTTGATTTCTTCCGCGACTTTTTCCCAATAGTTCAAATAACTTCCTGAAAATAGAGACACAGTGTGACACACATATGTGGAAAAGAACGTAGAGAAAATTTACGTTCTCCTCTCTATTGAATAACACACAAAAAGAGTTTTCATTGTTAATTTGAGAAGACGATCGGCATTAACGCTGTGGAACAATAATATTTTTGTCGTGATTATATTCGGACCGATGTGAAGTTGTAAATTCGTCCAACGTTCGCTTGTGATTCAATTCACATTCCTGAGTAATACTTTTGTTGTGCATCGAAAGGTCAGTCAACTTCTCCCGCAATTTTTTTCCCAACAAAATAAATATTTTTATAAAAAGATAAAGGAAACTGGATTATACTCGCGAGCACGTGGAATTGAAATTTATTGACCACGAGCTTGACTAAACAAGATACTCGAATAACTCAAGAAACCAAACTTGGCTCGAAATCGTACAAGTTTATCTGGGGCAATTATCCCACCGAGCCCAAACTACGTGTGTAAGCAAGTAAGTAGATTGACTCAGTTCAATCTCGTGCCCTAAGAAGATGTTGCTTTCAGTTCCCGCCTGGTTCCAAGCCTGAGGCAGGCCGGCCATAATTGACTAGTAAATATTTCCTTTCAACTCTTCAACGCTTACGCCAAGCGCACACCACGACAAGCACAGCCAAATAGTGCTCCCTAAGAATCTTAAGCCTCTTTCACTATGGCCGATTCCATTCCCATTAAATTTTCCCATTAAGATATATACATACATTATATACATCGAACAAAAAAACCTCGTCTTACCGTCCCCATATCTATCCATGGACACATCATCAGGATCGGCTCTCGAACAAAGTATTTTTATATATTTCAGCAACTTCAATGACAGTTGTCGAACATGCAATTTATTATTTTTAAATCTTTTCTATATTATATATCTCTATTATTGGGATATTTGAACTAGACTGGACATATTTATTCTCATGGTGGCCCACAGACCGCATAAAAAAATATGACTTGCTCTCAATCCCTGTGAACACAAGTTCAACCTCTGTAAAATTAAATAACAAGCTCATAGTAATGATAATAATAATAAATGTGCATTTCACGCACATAGGAACTTCCAACTTCCAGGGGATTTGCTATTTATATTAGTCACCTTCCCCAGGAACAAGATCGTCGGAGAAGTCCTAGTACTGATGGAAGCCATGACCGAACCGACTAATTCGTTTTTCGTACTGATATGTGTCGCCTTTGCGTCCTCTATTTTATTTGTTTCCCTTCGCCGGAAACAGTCCAGGTCATCGCAGCTTCCTCCGGGACCCTCCGGATGGCCGATATTTGGCAACATGTTCAATCTTGGGACGATGCCTCATCGAACCCTAGCCAGCCTCCGCGAGAAATACGGCCCGGTGATTTGGCTTAGACTGGGCTCCATAGACACCATGGTGATTCTCTCGAGCAGAGCTGCGACCGAGTTCTTCAAGAACCAAGACCTCAATTTCGCAGAGCGAACCATCACTGATCTCATGCGCTCTTGGGACTACCACGAGGGATCCGTCGCCCTAGCCCCATACGGCCCATATTGGCGGATGTCGAGGCGGCTGCTGACAGTGGACATGCTAGTTGCCAAGCGGCTCAACGAGACGTCTACGATCCGGAGAAAATGCGTTGACAATATGCTGACATGGATCGGGGAGGTGGTGTCTACGGACAAGGTCCGACTTGGAGAAGGTATTCATCTCGCGCGCTTTGTATTCCTGACGACTTTCAATTTGCTAGGGAATCTCATGCTATCCCGAGACTTGTTTGATCCGGACTCAAAGGTCGGATCGGAGTTCTTCGTGGCAATGGCCGGATTGATGGAGTGGACAGGCCATGCTAATATCGTGGACCTGTTCCCTTGGCTGCGATGGTTGGACCCGCAAGGGCTGAGGAGGAAGATGGATCGGGATATGGGAAAGGCCATGAGGATCGCTTCGGATTTTGTGAGGGATAGGATCGAGGAGAAGAAGACCGGCAGGGATGATGATCGGAGGGATTTTCTAGATGTGTTACTTGAGTTCGAAGGAAACGGTAAGGACGAGCCGGCCAAACTTTCTGAGAAGCAGATCAACACATTCATACTGGTACGACCACAAACTTTGAATTTCTAATCATAAAAGAATACTATGACCGATCATATTAGTTAAAGATTGATCCTTGGTACGTATGTTGTGTGTTGTGTGACACAAGCCATATCCATCACAATACTAGATACTTTTAGTAATCCACTTAGTATCTGAAGTAAAAGCAATAGAGTTCATTGTAAAAAAAGCGCAGTAATGGAACTCTAACACTGAATTGGTCGTTTTGTTTGGATAGACTACAGGGGTGTCGGTTTGTCTCTAGATGCATTAACCGAATTGCTATCTTTTCTGCCCTAGAAAAGAAATTTTAGGGGAGGGTAAAAAAACTTGGGTTTATATGTATGCTCTGAGACAGAAGAGTAAAAGCAGTAATATTAATATAGAAATGGAAATTCGTAAGTTTCACTAAGCTGGCATATAAAAATCGAGAAGCTTTTGAAAAGTCATGGGTTGTCCTAATGTTTATGGAACTTTCTGTCTGCTTTCGTTCTTGAAGGTCATAACAGTCAATATGTGTCTGTGTGGTTGTCGGAGCTGTTTATTCAACAATTATAAAAAGATGTACTTGAAAGAGTTGGATTGTAGGATATACCTACCATTCTCTCTTGGCATTATCGGTTTCGAAGGCTGAAGGGTAGGCGCAAGGTGGAATCATCTTAGTGAAATTTTCTAGCTCTTTAATCCGAGTGCGCACAAAATTGTAATCCAATTTTCCTTGAACTAGCTGGGAAAGTGTCCATGAGTGAAAAAACTTTAAATACAAGTCTTTGAATCCGGGAGAGGGGGGTTATTGTAGCCATGACCACCACCCTCGCAGCTGCTGATAATAAGACCGTTTCCATAAATCAATGGTTAAGATTTATTGAAGTACCCTAGTGAGTACTATGTGAAGTAGAGGATCCATGTTCCACACGTTTTATCAAGTGTTTTAAATATTTATGGATCATAGGATGACCACACAACTAATAAACAAAGCCCGACATGACCGTAGAATAATTGATTAACAATTCGATAATGTAAATACTTATAAGTTGCTTGAATATCACTTGACTATCCAAATATCTCACAATTTGTATAGCACATCATCGTACCCAATTTTATGAATCAACTTTTTACATTCGTAACTTTACTTGAAAGAAGATAGGCTTTCTTCCATCAATATAACCTTTTAGCTTTATTGCTAGATTATGTAAAATATGTGCCGAGAATCCGATATATCCTTTGTGACAAATATGCAAGTTTCTGAGTATGTAAACAAGTACAATAATAGACGTATAAAAACCTGTTATGAAATTATTCAATAGAAGTATTGTGGAGTAAGTACCTCCATGACAAAGGGCGTTGTGACTTAAATAGGATGTTAAGCAAACTGCTCACAATTGCAGCACATTCAAAGCTGCAATAGTTTATATAGGCTTTTATAAAGGGGCATCATCAGCTTTTATACAGCAACAACAGCTTATATTAGCTTTAAGGAAGCTGCTCATCCAGCTGAGTTGCTATGGTTCTGAAATAATATATTTGCGAACACACAACTTACGTCACTTGAAAACACATATCCACTGTCTCCCACTGAAGTATATTACTTATCTATTTTCAATTTCTTGTATATAATTTTGAATAGAAGAAATCATATCTGGTCCAAACTTAGAGATGGTGTTGAAACATAGAATATGGTAAGACTAGTATACGATCCACCAAAAGCAACATGTTACTCAAAAACGGCTTAAATGGACTGCTCTCGGACGCGACTTTGGAATTCGAGGATGCAAAAATCATTAATAGTTATGGATATCGCTCCATTTCCCGAAATTTTGGCATCCTTGCTCTCACACACTCGCCTCTTGACATCACAGGAAATATTCTTGGCCGGTGCGGAAACAACAAGCAGCACTATTGAATGGGCGATGACAGAACTCCTACTGAACCCAGACTCCATGGTCAAGGTCAAATCCGAGCTGTCCCGGGTGGTCGGGTCCAACCGAAAGGTCCAGGAAACCGATATAGACCAGCTCCCCTATCTGCAAGCAGTTGTGAAGGAAACGTTCAGGCTCCACCCGCCAATCCCATTCCTCGTGCCACGGAGGGCAATGCGTGACACTGTCTTCATGGGTTACGACATACCCGAAAACACACAGGTCTTTGTGAATGCTTGGGCGATCGGTAGAGACCTGGATGTCTGGGAAGACCCTATGGTTTTTAAGCCCGAGAGGTTCATCGGTTCGAAGTTGGATTATAAGGGTCAACATTTTGAGTTCATTCCATTTGGAGCAGGTCGAAGGATGTGTGCCGGCGTGCCCTTGGCACATCACGTGCTTCATCTGGCTTTGAGCTCGCTGCTTCATGAGTTCGATTGGGGGTTCGATGGCCGCATTGATCCAAAGAAGATTGATATGAGAGATCGGTTGGGGGTGACCATGAGGAAGTATGTGCCCTTGCTGGCGGTACCCAAAAAAAGATCAACGTGAGACTGTGTTCAGCTCTAAATGTTTCCATGTTTACCTAAGTTAATATTAGTCTGAACTTTTCTTTGCTTCCTCAAATCTACTGCACTCACGGACATTCGTCGTTCCTGTAATCCCAAGTCTAAATATGTCAAATAACAACAGGCTATGTTGTTTCGGAATTTATATACACGCATCATTAAATGAATGGGTTAATTATACCATATTTAGCCTCGCGACCTTCTTCAAGGTGCACTAACAAGGGAAAGCTAGGATTACTAGGCGGGCACAAACAGTTTGATGCGTGTATGAGCGAGTGATTTTAGGAATGGGAGTGTAGGGAAAAAGATCGCTGAAGAAATTGACTAATCTTTTGATGCACAACAAAAGAATTATCTAGGAATGTGAATTGAATCACCAGAAGCCACACAAGGTGAAATAATTGATCGATCAGTAAACACAAGTGATAGATGTAAAACAACAATGGTCTTCCTTCGCACTCATGTCTCTCTCCATTTCAGAACAACTGCTTTCCTAGACACATCCTATAAAGCCATATTTATTCATAACTGCCAGTAATATGCTAAAATAGCAACATTGCTCTATTACTTTGAAAAAATAGTCAAAAGTAACATAGGGCACAAAACGAGGAAATCAATAAATTACCTCAAGGACTCACACGATAAGTAAATAGGGATAATTTCACTCACCTCCCTTATCGGTCAAACATGTATGAATTACATGCTATAGCGGATTTCTCTTTCTAAAAGAGCATATATCATTTACTAAACATATCCACTATACGGATCTTAGCCTAAATATAGTCACATGTTACTCACGTACATATATTTAGCTCGAATGCTATATCAGCTCTCTATCTATAGCGCCCAATTAAGTACTTGCATCCGGCTTCCATCAAGCATACATGATTGTGGGACTATCATGTTCGGTCTTATCACATATAATCAGAGATCTCATCTTAATCCTAATCAAGGCGACGAAAAATTATATTATGTACTAAATTTGTTCTTCTAGTATTTATAGTACATATCATCTCATTTCAACCTACTTACTATAGCATTTGAGGTTATGTACTAAATTTGTTCTTCTAGTATTTATAGTACATATCATCTCATTTCAACCTACTTACTATAGCATTTGAGGTAATTATTCATGTGAGTGAGCCAATCATTGCCTGGTGACATGCCATATAATAATATATGTGTGTTTGTGCTAGTCTTAAAGAATATTGTACTAATTGATAAAACATCAATTTATTAAAAGAAAAAATAAGTACAATACATACACACATATAATCCAATGATCCTCAACAATATTACATATCACATTCTACGTAATCCTAGAGACATCTTGTGGGTCAAGAACACATCTCTAGAAATAACCTTCGTGAATGGATCAGCAACCATTCTGTTGGTAGAAATATATTAGGACCACTTCCTTCTGCGCTATTATATCTTCGATGAAGTTATTCTTTATGTCAATATACTTTGTCCTACAATGATACTTAGGGTCTTTCATATAGGCAATGGTTGCCTGACTATCGCAATAAACTGTCACTGGTCTTGGAACATCAGTGACAATGGCTAAATTTTACAAGAAACGTTTTAGCCATACTGCTTCTTGCACTGCAGTAGAACATGCAATAAATTCTACCTCTATCATAGATAGAGCTATGCATGTTTGTTTGTTGCTACTCCAAAAAATTGCACCTTCATTAAGCAAGAACGCATATCCAGATGTTAATTTACGCTCATCCAAATCTCCTCCCCAGTTGGCATCTGAGTAACCTAATAAGCGTAAATCGTTCCCTTGAAAATAAAGTCGATAGTCCATTGTGCCTCTCAAGTATCTCAAGATCCTTTTAACTAGCTTTCTAGTGTGCTTGACTAGGATTTGAATGGTATCGACTCACTAACCCCACTGCATAACATATGTCAGGTCAAGTACACATCATAGTATACATCAAACTTCCGGCTACACTAGAATAAGGAACAGTTTCCATTTCTTTCTTTTCTTCTAGAGTCTTAGGACACATCTTAGAGCTTAGGCCTTCGCCTTACATGATTGAGGTATCAATGGGATTACAATGCTGCATATTGAAACATTCAAGATCTTCATTATATAAGATTTTTGTGACAGACTAAGGAGTTTCCTTGTTCGATCTCTTTCAATATTAACTTCCAATATATAAGTAACTTCTCCCATGTCCTTCATTTCAAAATTAGAGGACAACCATTCTCTTATGGTGATAACCAAACCCTTATCATTCCCAGCTAGTAGAATATCATCCACATAGAGTGATAAAATCACAAAATTATCCTCGGACCGTTTGACATACACACAGTGATCTTCTTCGATCATCATAAACCAGAAGAAGTTATGGCTCGATGAAAACGAAAGTACCACTGTCTAGATGATTGCTTAAGGCCATATAATGATCGATGAAGCTTGCAGACTTTGCGCTCTTGACCTTTAGCAATGAAACCCATCGGTTGTTTCATATAGATTTCCTCATCTAGTTCTCTATTGAGAAATATTGTCTTTACATCGATTTGATGTAATTCTAAGTCCAAAGTTGTGACAATAGTTGGGATAAGCCGTATGGAGGTAAACCTTACAACTGGTAAAAAGGTTTCCTCTTGCAATACCCTCTTGTTGACTATAACCTTTTGCCACAAGACTAATCTTATACTTTTCAACAAACCCATCTGCCCTATGCTTGATCTTGAAAACCCATTTATTTTCAATAACCTTGCATTCAGGTGGTAGATTAACAAAGTCCCAAGCATGGTTTGCTCTCATAGACTCTATTTCATCTTCCAAAGCTTTTCTCCATTCTTTCTTATCAATAGATGAGAGAGCCTCTTCAACTGTCTTAGGCTCTGCATTGTCTTATGTAGTAATCATAAATGCTTCCCCTTCAATCTCAAAATGACGACGTGTGACGTCCCAGGCGCGCCACCCTACTAATGCGGTTCTTTTATCTTCTTTAGTGTTATCATACAAGTGGAAGCTAACATTTAGGATAGCACTTATAACATAGATGAGGCCCAAACAGCACAATCAACATGACTGAAGAGGGATATCATTCTTCCATTTCTTTTCCTTATTTACATACACGGACAATACAACCAAAAGACTAACACTGGGAGGACCAAAAAGATATAAGCTCTCCTTCACCACTAAGTGACCCTATACATACGTCACCGCTGACATCAACGCCCGTCGTCACAGTTTAAACCAAAAAGGTGATAACTGCGGGATTCCGAGATGGCTCCCCATCCAACATACGCTACCACCACCCATCTAAGGATCATTGAGTTCCTTCGTATCATGGTTCTCGCTTGGACCACTACTCTCACTACCACCATGTCATGCCCCGTTCCATCGAGAATGCTAACATCCCTCCTCTGTCGTTATGTTGCGACAACTCAAGACATGTTGCTGACCCATTCTATTATCTCTTATTGGACGCAAGCGGAAATGTACAGACTCCTAATCACATAACAGTAAGGGAAATAGCTAGGAAAACTCATTAACGGAAAAACCAGCGAGCCATTTTATAAACATTAGTTAACCTTGACAAGCTACACTTTACAAGCCTATCTAGGGCAGCTTTCTCAACGACCAGTCAAATAAAAAGGGGTGATCGGTCAGGTCAACCTAGGCTCCTCTATCCAAAACGGGGTGGTAAAAAAGGTGGGGCATCCTAAGGCCATCACCAAAGCTAGTAGTACTTAGGAGAACACTCCGAATCGGACTCCTCGGCATCCGAATCGGGATTAGAGACATTTTCATCATGAGGGTTGAGGTCCATCAGGTCCCAGACCTACTCGCCACTACCTCTACCAGGGGGCCCGTCGAATCCCCTAATAGGGCCAAAGAGCTCATCTCCTTCCCTTATGAACCAGGCTATGAACTTATGCAGTACCTACATAGCCAACCCTTCATCGACCAGACGGTCATCAAATGACTCTGAAAGGCTCTATCCGATCCGACCAAATGCTCAGTCACTACCATGCCCATATCCATGGGCACCCCGAACCTCATAGGATGCTGACTCATAACTAGGAGTCTGAAAATAGTTAAACAAACAACAATGAGATAAACTCAGGAAGCAAGCTCCCTAAACCTCATTTAGGAGAGTACGTTGCCTCTGGATCGCCCTAAACGTGCAAGTCACTATCGATGAAAGATCAATAGTAAAGCCCCTATTTTGCCTAAACTATAGACATGAAACAGTTATCTCACCCTTTTACTACCATCCCATTTGGCAATTGCTCCAACGAGCACATAACAGGATCACAATAACGTGCATATTCAAGAGGCATAATCCAGCATATTTCATTGCATAACCATGCACAACAACAATTTAATACTCTATACATAATCAATCATCATTCTCAGGCACGTCGTACTCATGATAGTCTAGATTATTAAACGATCCCTTGGGCCACAACACATCCCAAAGGAAGGCGGTCTTCTGGCATGACCGGTCATCGTCCCGCTCCGTCGGGCACAACATCGTCTCACCAACCTCAATGACGGCATCCCATAAATGGGTTTGTTCCGAATTCCATTCGCAAACGACTTCGTCTCACCCTGCCCTCGCGACGGCATCCAATTATCAAATTGGGCATGATCTCTCACAGCCATGGCCAAACCCTAGGTTAGTGGTATTCCAATATAACCGGGCACAAATGGAACTTTTAGGTGATCATGCACATACAATAATCACTCAAGTCCCATTTCTTATCTTTGGAATTTAGTCAATGTCAATTGTTTATGACGTGCAATTCTTTACGCATAAAGCTACAATGAAAATGTACTCATATTTCAACACCAATAACATTGTCCATTCAATTTCCAATTAAACTTAAGCATACCAAAGATTGCGATTTAATCAAGGCATTTTTCAACATAAACTCATCCTTTTTCTCATAGCAATTTAAACCTTATAACACATATCAATGATCATTAATCAAGACAAGTTTTCATTTAAC